ACGTTTGGCATGGGAGTGAAATAAATAGAACGTGTACTTCAATGAGGATTTTATGATGACAACAAATCTTTAACAGTAAAATTTCACACACATTATTGTCTCGAATTTAGTATAATTATTGAATGTAATTCTACAGTCACAATTGACATGCTGATTATAAAAAAATTATAAATTACATTTATAAAACCTTACATCCACTTGAGGGCAGTCTGTTTTTTTCTCATTTGTTTTGAAAAAAAACAATCCAAATATATAAAATAAACATAAATAAGCTTGAAATAGTCACGCACTTTTGTATTAATCAACCAGCTTTCTCGGACTGCAACCTATTCTTTTTAATGTGACCCACATAGTCCATTTTTTCAACTTGAATTCCATCATCAGCATAAACATCCTCGACTGACCGGATTGCTTAACTATCTCCATCACCAATAAACTGTGTGTATCTTCATCAATAATAATATGAATCATTCTTTTCATTACTATACAGTTGAAATAACGGGGAAAAAAACAATATTAATATCTCTATGCACACCAACCACGAACAATTTTTTTGAATAGTATGAATATTTTAATATGCAATAAACACTCTTTCCACTTTTTATGGACAATCCCTGATCCACGTGAGATGTTAAATAACTCATACTACACATATTTATTTATTTATTGCCTGAGGTTGTGTTTTTCTTTCAAACAATACTGTTACTCCAGCTTCCTCCATACTCTTAGCCATCATGGTTCATGTTACAATTAGGTTGCATGAGCTCCATATCTTTTGGCTTATCTTCCCATGCCTTACACTCTCGACAATAGGAATTCATGGTGTGTCAATAAACACTCTCAATGGCTTGCAGACCCAACACCATCTTCCGGTTTATTTGAAAATACTAATTATCGGCCGCTCTTCTTTGATGATAGAACTTGAAGTGGCTGTCCCATCCTTGGACAGAAACTTCATTCAATGACAAACTGCCGATCATACATTTCCACACGAAATTTAAAACGGAATCAAGCAAATCAACGTTAACAAGTCGCAACTTTCCATCACTGTCGTGCTCAAGTTGTTGTTCCCAGTCAATGTTGATTTTCTTGGACGCAGCCGATCATACAGTGACTACATTTCCACACGAAATTTAAAACGGAATCAAGCAAATCAACATCAACAACTCGCAACTTTCATCACTATCATGCTCAAGTTGTTTTTCTCAATCAATGTTGATTTTCTTGGACGTCCAAAGCATCATTGTAATCAGAACCACAATCTGAATCAGAACTCAAAAAAGCCTCTTGGTCGTACTACGAACCAGCATCAGACAATTCGAACGTCGAACTACATACACCTCTGCACATATTCGTTTTTTATACTTATTTGGCGGACGAGTTTTTCTCTTTTTACGGGAAACTAACGTGTTATTGGCTTTAACCAAAATATGCTTATACATGTAGTACTGAAGTCGGTAGAGGGCGGTATGTTAAATTTACCGTACCAGGTAGCAGAAGGCGGCTTGTCAGTCTCTCAAAACCGTTTCGGAAATACGTTTTGTATTTTGAATATTTTGTATCAACTCAACTGGCATGCAGTCTGGGACTCCGAATCCTTATTTACGAATGCTCATTAACTTTTATGCAGTGACTATATGTATTTGTTCGAATTACTAGTGTACTCGATATTGTTGTGTGGCACCAATCTACTGAAATCTAACATTACTGGGCAAGTCGCATAAATACGCCAGATATCACACAAAGATTTCTCCGCGAATTCGTTAAACGATGTCTACATTAACTATATGTTTCATTTTGATAACAATAAATAAATAAAATTATTTTTTTATGTAACAGGTTCAGAAATGTTTGTCCAATTCGAAACCCTGAATGCTAAACCATCGTGAAACTGAATAAACAGCATAGTAGTGTTCGAATGACGAAATGAAATAATCGACTGAAGTTGATTGAATTCACAGTTATAAATGACGTGAAACTAGGTTATCGTGAATTACATCGGAGGATGAAGACCACAAGACAAATTCACTACAAGCCGTGGCTGCATATGTAGATATTTTCGGAGCCTGAGCCAACTCGCGATCACGTGGCTCATTCTCATATACCTTTGCCAACAACCGTGTCAAAGTATGCCAACTGTACTAACCTACCCTACCCCCGATAAAAATAATAGACCAACCCAAATTACCAGGGTGCATAGCGCGTCACCGCTTCCGTCACAGCAAACGAAGAGCCAGTCCACTGAGTACGCTCGCTTCTGAAAACAAAATGTCAACCCAGATGTGTGTTTACAAATGCCCGTCGTGCGAGAAGTCTTTTAAAAATACGAGTGGATTTCAAAAACATTCAAAAAAAGTACATGGGACAGGTTTAAAAGGTTGGTGTTTTTTTTCTCGTCTGCACTGGTTTATGAATTGCATTACGAGTAAACTGGCTACTTTGAATATTGTTAATAGAAGGGCCGAAACGACCACTCGTTTACGACCGTAACGTCAAAAATGAGGTCTGTAACTTATTTAATTTTATTAACTGGACCGAACCACCCAGCTGCCGTAGGCATCATCGTTGCCTTTTAAAGTGTGTAGTGTACGACATTTCTGTGAATCGAATGTTCAATAAATCGTTATTTATACTACCCAAATACTATCAAGTGTAGTATGAATTGAAAGAAATGTTGGCTCAGATGGCTAGTAGTGATGATCTTGAATGTTGCTCACTCCCCCCATATGAAATAATATAATTTTGCTATGCATTCATTGTAATAATTAAAATTAAGATCCGCTGTAATTTAAAGTTGGTGATTTGTTGATGTCGCATTTTCCACGGTCAATTAACACATCTATAGGTGTCATTCATTTACACTGTACAATAAAATTCAATGTGTCACACTTTTTTTCCTAGTTGACAACTCGTGACAAGTTTTGACTTGACCCCTCCTGTATGCGACAATATTTCAATTTTAGCCAACAATCCTCTGATTTCTTTAGTTAGATAAATAAAAAAATACATATACTATTACAATGTTATCAATTTGCGTACCAAATTTGCGACGTTGGTGTAAGGACGATCTGGCCCTGGTCGCTTACTTACTTATTCTGTTTTATACGACGCTATGCACGTGTTTCTTCTATTATTCAGTGTCAATCGATGTTTATTTACATTGTGTTTTGTTCTACTTAGCGACTGAACACAAAGTGACAACCCCAGGAAGTAAGCGAGACGATGTAGAGGACAATGTGTGTCAATGGATGGACTCAGATGACGAGAATAACCCGGACTGCTCCACGGAACCTGGTAAGATCTCATTATATACTGCTTAATTTGAGTGACAGGGGATTCCACCATCTATTGGATATGACATTACGCTGTGGCGAGTCGGGTTTTACTGTGATTTGTACTGACCAAAGTCATTTCTTTTTTGTCCCAGTTTTTTCCACGCCTGCTGCAGTTTACCAAAAAGATAATTTGAAAAATGACTTGCCAGCTCTAGTCATCGAAGCACTCCAACAAATCAAATGCGATAACTGTTTGACTATCCCAGGTAGCGTGTATGGATTTGGAATCGTGGCGATTGCAAACGACGTCATCACCAAAGTGAAATCAGGCGACACCTTCTCTAATAAATTCATCACTGATATGACAAGCAATTTTTGGAACACTATCATATCAGGAGATAAAGAGCGGACATTTTCTCTATACAATGAAGCAATATGGCACCATTTTTACAATATGTGGATCGACGAAGACCTCACAGAAACTGTTATTGATGACTTTCGTAAGTTATGTAATGCAGATGCTGAGAATGCGCAGTTATTCCGGACAGCAAGAATGTTTCTATTCCGATTAATTGTTCTTGTCAGAAACCACAGAGATAGGTCTGACGGACTATTACAAATTCAAAAGGTTCCGTGGCAAATGTAGAACTACAGTATGATCAGGTGGGAGGGTGGTGATGGACGGTCACGTTACGAACATGGGTAGAAGGGCGATGGGCACTGATGAAGGTTTACAATGTGATCGTCGGATACATTGTAATTTTAACGTTTTTTTCAGGGGATAATATTATTTGGTAGTGAATTTACATTTCAATTACATGTACTTTCCTACGTCTGTCAGTATTGTTGAATTACGTAATAAATAAAATAAGTACACATAGACAATGCAAGTCAAATGGTGCGAAATATTATGCTACAACGCGGGCTGGGAATTCGCATTAGAATTACAATAACATTCTTGTAGGATGGGTGCACCTGACCTGTCCTATACACGCTTACACCATTATAGAATCACAGCTCGGAATGATTGTTTTAGCAAATTAAAGAGGAACAGAGCGTCAGAGTACTTGCTAAATGCACGAATGAAAAGAAGGAATGATGCACGTTGTATTTTTCGTTTTTTTCGACTTCCTTCCGTTCACATTGACGTACTTTGTTTTGATTGGCTGAACGAAATCGATGAAATATTTGGATATTCATTTTTCTGATTGGCTGCATGGGACATGACTGTCGTTCCCAAAAATTGTGGCGCCTCATTCTAATGATATATTTATGACGTCATTACGTTTGTGAATGGTGGTCTGTTTTTCACGTGCAATGACATGCCGTGGCCACAACGTAGCATTATTTTATTTCCCAGTAAATAAGAATATTAAGTAATGCAGGCTATGAATTAACGCACTGACGTTATTTTCGCTATTTCCACGGAATTTAGTAATTAAAATACTTGAGAGTATTTAATTAAATTGCCATGCTTATCATTGAGCATCCCGATACGTCGGGACGACCATACGTACGAGTACTAGACGCAATAACCCACGACACACCCATGTTATTTATGGGTTACAAAACATGGGAATAATATATACGAA